CTTGGATATGCAGGAGGTGTAATCGATAATGGCTCAGAATTGTTAATCAGAGAGCCAAGTACCAATTCTAGTTGGGTTCATTATATTCACTTACAAGCAAATACCCTTGGTATGAATTCACCTCTTCTCCATCCAGTTATGGGTTAATTAGTAAGATTTGTATCACTAAATCATTATTATCTCAAAAAAATATTAGAATCTAAAAAAAAAAACTATTTTCTGGTTTTAAATAACCTGCAAAGGGTTTATAAGCCATAGAAAATGAATCAATCACTCAATCAGCCCAATCATGTATCTTTTAATGTAACTATTTCTTTTCTAGTCAGAAAGGTTTGAGACCTTAATACCAGGCAAGTATAGTTAAAGAAATCTTTTTATTCTCTTTTAATCAAAATTGACATTTTAAATATTGATTACAATATCTAAAAAGAAAGATTATGAGTTGTACTTTATTATTCATTACTTGGATTGGCAACTTTAATCTTTTCTTGCAATTATGCTAAACAAAGAAGGTTTATGCTGGGAAGCAATTAGAATGTTATAAAGTACTAACAGTTTTAAGAATCTATTTTAGATATTTATTAAATACTAATTTACTTAGGTTGTCAAAAATGATGGCATATTTTTTTATGTCAATCACCAGTCATCAACAAGGCATTAGGTGGCCAAAACTTCTCAATGGAAAAGTCAGTGGATCACTCCTTGTTGTGCATCAGGCTTCACAGCCACATTAGTCAGAGTATGCATTCCCAACTCCATTCACTATTATTAAGTTCTTCACATGACAATCTTTAAATGTATTTCTGCCAATTATTATTGTTGTACTCTGTTCTTTCATGGATTCAGCCTTTTCACCTGCTTGATGCTTAAACCACTGATTTGTGAAACCAACTCACAAAAAGATGTTTCCTTGATCACTACTATCTTAACCTGTTCCAATCTAAGGTTAACCATTATCTTCCCTACATGTCCCCATAAACCATGCCTCTCACTTTGTAACCCCCTACCTCAAGTGTCTCTTGGGCCTTGTACAGGGTGAACAGGTGATTATTGTAAAAAAACAAAACAAAAATAGACTCTGGCTGGGTGTTTTTCCAATCATTCTAATCTTGACCAGGGTTAACTATTATCTTTCATGCATAACACGTGAACTCCATTTCTTGGCTTTTCTTATACAACACCACATAGTAACCCTCTATCTATAGTGGCTTTTGGGCCTTGTACTGGGTGAACATTAGTATTAGAAAAATCAGAAACACTGCCTATCACTTGATGTAGCCAATGCAAGGGAGATAACTCTAATAGAGACAAAAGTTACAGACAAAAAGTATGTGGCATATCATATAGATTATATTTCTGGTCCATTTCACTAATTCTTTTTACATTTCCTTATATTTATTCTGTTTTCTTGATTTATGGCTATTTATCCTAAATAAAACACGAGGTACTGTAGATACATTACATCTGTTAAGAAAATCTCATATTCTCTAGTACAGACTTTATTCAACCACTATTTCTACTGTGATTTTTTTTATAGTTATGGAATACATATGATCTGTTTGATAGTAAATAAGCAAATTTCATAAACAGAGAATTGTAGACTGAAGGTACATAATACTACTTTTCTGGCACATTTGTTAAATAATCCTGTGTTCTAAGGATTTTACAAACATTTCAGTTTTTTTTCACACTTTCTTTTGTTTTTTTTTTTTTTTAACTTTACCAGATATTTTGCTAGAATGTCCCTTTATAAGGAAACAGCATTAACATTAGCTTTTTGTTGCTTTTTATCATACTTTTCTTTTATTAGCTGATCTGTTCTTTATTGGATTTCAGAAAAAAGAAAAATATTTGGACAAAAAGAAAATATTAGTATTAAAATATGTGAAACAATGAAAATAGTTTCTCTCAGGTAATTTACAGTTTTATTATTACTACTCTCTCGATCTTCTGGGATGTGAGGATGGATAACAGCTAGGAATGAGAAATCAAAGTGCCAAGTTCAAATTTCAGTCAGGTTTGTTACATTCATTTATATCCAAATACTTTTGGGAAAGGTATGAATCCATCTCCTCTCCAGCTATGGATTAAATAGTAGGACTGGAAAAACTATTATTCTCAAAATATTAATGCAGTATTCCCTCACAAAAAAGAATTGTTCTTACAATCCTAAATATGTTTTAGGTTAACTATCTGAAAAAAAATCAATCTCAGTTTTTCAATTTTTATCTTCTCACATTTTTTAATTCACTGTTTAAAGATTAAATGTTGTTCAAGTAAAATGTCTTTTTCTTTATGACTAATCAACAGGATTATTGGTACTAGTTTTAATTGTATTAGATTGCTAAGGTATTTCACAAACAGTAGAGGAATTTCTCAAAGTTCTAGACATAGAATGTCTACAAAACTTTTTCAGCTCAAGGTATATGTATGGCAAATCTTGATAATCCCAAATATCAGTTTTACTTGCATCAAATTATTGATAATGTGAGGAAAAGTATAATGGTAATGATGAAATTAGCTGTGTTGTTATAAGGAAAAATTTGGTGTTGATTGACTGAATAGTTAGCATTACAGTCAATAGAAATTTTTTTAAATCTTTCACTTTGGTCTTCAGAAAAACTGGTTTCTCATGTTCACTATTATCACTCTTTCTAGTATTGATGGGAGTTTCCTTCCTAAACTTTTTTTAAGATAGTGTAGAAAGTCAACATCTAGATTGTATTATCTTCCCTTCATGGGCTATCCATTTTAGTTATTGCCACTGTTGGAAGTTTTTAGATGATGTAATTTCTGTTATTTGGTAAAGTTCTTTGTTTTTGTTGTTCTATGAGATTCAACAAATAACAGTCATATACCTTACTCACAGAGTTCATTCACTGAAATACTGTTTTAATTATTGATCTGAGAAAATGGTATACCTTATAATTAATACATTTTTGAATGTTGCATGTCATGAATGATATCCATATGAGAGTTTAAATCTGATGAGGATTTTTAAGAATATGACTCGGGTTTATGTTTTCATTTTGCCACATTTTGCAGCATTGGACAAAACTGCCTCGAGCACAATCTATTTTGTGTTACATGTCTACTGTATTAGTTAAAGGTTAACTTCAGTACAACCAAATCAATACTTTAAATCCACCAGTATTCATATCATCAAATTCTAGTGTTGTGAATTCAAGACATTGGACACACATCCACATGGATTATAATTGAAACTGGATGAGGAAAATAGTAATAGGTTATAGCAGCTAATCCATATATGATGAGCCATGAAAGAATGCAGTAGTTTAACTGCACTCACTCCACAAAATCTCCAAATTTGTAAATTAGGTGTTGCATTCACAAAGGAATAATAACAATCTTTTTTATGCATATATGACTTTGATTTCTCAGAAGTTGACACATAGATAGCTGAACGCCATTATCACAGGTAATGAAAAGTGGTATTTATCAGAACATCAACACAACATACAAGCACAACTTAACAGAATACTATAAGCATACAAAAATCAGAGTTGTGTCATAAAAAGGTTATGATTTGCTGTCAGTGTGATGTGAAATGTATTGTATACTGGGAAAAATCAAACTACACTAGGTTTTAATGAATCATCTGTGCAATGTGTGGCCCAATGCCGTTATACAAGAGGCAAATTTATTATACAATTGCGGGCATTTTTGCATCAACCATGCTCTGTACCTGCAGGCAATACTCTTTTTAGTGGTAACCTTGTTTAGTTCAAGCTGTTACAATTAAACAGTTAAAACAACCTGATATTTTTCTACTTTTGCTTGTATTAGAAAAGATAAATCTCAACACTCAAACATTTTTCCATGTTAAGTGTTTACAAAGCAAATGCAATTTCATTTTCTTATCAGTTTATGTAATCTTACAACCATAAATTATGATATTTTAATTCCTTTCTTGTTTAGGAGAGTTCATTCTTTTACTCTAGTCTATACAAGAAATTCTTTTACTCATCAAATCATTAGTTTTCATCTGCAACAGCAGTTGGAAACAAAAGAATGTTTCTTGCAAACATATTCAGTGTTCTGCTATGAGTAGACAACACCTACATACCTTGGTTTGGTGGATCTGTCCTGGTGATATAATCTATAAGTATTCATTTTGTTTTGTTTGTTTTTTGTTTTTTTTTGTTTTTGTCAGCCATGAAGCTTAAAATGTGTTGAGTCATGAAAACACTATATTATTACAAGAAAAGTAAATGCATAATAAAAATGTAAAACTGTCCTGTTTTGAGGCTTGAAAATTATGGTAAGTTTAGCCATATGACTAAATAAAATTAGATTGTTTTTCATGGCTTATGTTGCTGGTTTCATGAATTTGATTTGGCAAGATTTGATTTTCATTAAAAATGACTATAGAATATTTGTTGTTTTTATTTTAGTATTTAATTTTTAAGATATAACCATTTCCTAAGTTTAACTTAGTCTAACAAAATTACAAAGGTGGGATGCCCAGTGAAGTTTGAACTGGCTACACTATTTGTCTGTGACACAAACTCACTTAACTTTGCTCAGTAGTGAAGTGTTGAAACAGTGGTTTCCATACAATCACCAAATTTAAGCAACATTGAGACTGGTCAGTACCTAGATGACTACTTGCGAATATAAGCTGCTGTAAGCTTGGATGTGCATGTGGGTGTAATGGATAAATGGCTTGGCATTGTTAACCAGAGAGCTGATGCACAAATACCCTGGGGGCTGTGAGTTAATTAGTAAGACTTGTATCACTAAACCGTTATTATTACCAAAAATAAAATGAAATTGTGTACAGAATATTTAGATTTCAGTATTAAATATCCCATAGAAGTTGAAATGAAACTAAAAAAAAAACAAAAAAAAACAACCAAATATTTACTAAATTTAGCTTAGCCTGCACAAATCCACAACAATAAACTACCCTTTTAACATCAAATCTACTACAATGATGTATTGGCCTGTGAGATATGCATTACTCTACAATTTAAGCA